AGAGAGAGATTCTCTGATTGGATATGTGATTGCTATATTGTCCAATCATTCCCTGTCTTTGACAGTGATTTTCTTGTCGATGCTCGTCGTTCTGTCCCCACATGTGGACGTTGTAAGTCAACGTCAACGGAAGTTTGATTTTCAGTTCTTTATCACCGCATCCAATTTCTCTTTCGCTTTTCTTGGTTACAATTATTATGATCAATTGAAATTTGTGTGACTTTTCTGCAAGGAATATGAGTTAGAGAGAGATACAGATAACCTAGGCTGGGCCGTCGCCCGGCCAGGCATGCCCGGGCCAGCTGGGCCAGGGGGGATCGCCCGGCAAAACCAGGCGGGTCAAAAAAGAGGGAAGGATCTCCCAAACAAAAAAACTGACTTCAGGCCAGGACTGCGCTTGGCGGGAGCAGTCAGAATCCGGCCTTACCTTCCATTTCGGTGGTGGGTCACCCAGGAGCATTTGGGGGTATAATGTTACTCTAAACAGTGACTAGCGGGGTTTAAAAGGGTATATCTTACCTCATTTCTCCTCATTTATTTTTATCTTAAAAATAATAAGGAATTTCAAGGGGACCCTCAGCCAAAAGTTGCTTGTACTGCAATTTTATACAACATAGTTTTTTTCCAGATTTTTTTGAATTTTTTGAATTTTTAATTTTTTAAAATATTATGCGCTGGGGCTGCCCGGGACCCTGCCCGGCCACTGCCTGGCCCGGGCCCCCCGGGAGGGCAGCCAGGCGACCTTCCCCCAGCCGGGCCGCCTGGGAACCAGCCTAGCAGATAACCAAGTTGCAAAATCACGCAGAAGTCCAGATAGTCATGTAACAAGCAGAGAGCTCAAATGCACCAAGATTCCATCCAAATAAGAGCGATACAATGAGCTCGTGAGCCAATGTCCAAGCGCTCAGGCCACACCAACGCAGTATTCAATGTCGCTTCTACTGTCCGGCACCCAGCTCCCAGCCTACTCTACTCATCCTACCTAGCCTATCTACATTCGTGCAACAAGCTCACTTGGACTTTGAAGACCAATGTACATGACGTCAACACCAACGCCGACCTTCCACATACACCAGGTATGTACTCTCGACTCCCTTCATCTCTCCTTGACCACCCACACCTGCGCCTCCTTTCTGAAGACCACTGTTGCCCTTCACCCACTTGTGCCCCTGCAGCCTGGCTATGGCCGCTTGGCGCCCCGCTGCCCTGCAGCGCCCCACACCACTTAGCGCCCGCATGCGCCCCAGCCAGCGCTAGCGCAATGCAGACACTTGGGCTGAATCGCAGCAGCGTGTCCGCATTGCCTGCCTAGGCCAGAATGCGGAATACTGGCCGGCCTCCTCCCTATATGGGAGTCACAGCTGCTGCTGCACTGTCTGGGCCTGGCCTTGGAAGTTTCCAGTAGCTTCTGGTTGGGCCCCACTGTCTGCGCCCAGGCCCATGTCTACAGTTGAGGGCCTGGGCCCTTTACAGTTGGGCACACCCAGGATTATCCAGGCTCTGAATGTTTGCTGCGTTTGCATTGGCCCACGGGGCAGATGTGACGACAATGCTGCATTCTCATTGGCCCGTGGCCATTTGGTGATGTGTCAGCCTCACGATACCTGTGCCCAGGGCGCAACCCCCTTTGTCCGGGGCCCAACTGCCTGACGCAGCTGCTTCTTCTGGAAGAGCCAAGGGTGAGGGCCCAGGTTGCACTTCAACCAACTGGCGGGCAGCAACTGTCTGAGACCCACATTGGAAAATGCTGACATAAGGGCCTCTCGTGGATATTCAGGCCCGCCTTCACTTAGGGCGGGCATGAGGCTTGCTGGGGGCCACAGTCAAGGACATATGCATGTTGTCTAGGGCCCCATGAGGACACATTCCTCAAATTTCTCTACAATGTCCAATAATTCCAGATTAAATTGCTTTACTTGTATCAAGTTTTTGTATATCAACTTGGTTTCCTCTCTTCGCGGAAAATTCATCATTGCAATTTCCTGTTGCTCCATCATTTTCGATTGGGACAACAATCACTGACTAGGTGAGTGCCCCTCTCTACAAAATTCCTATACTCACTTACCTTGCCATCTTCAGTTTGTGATTTTCTTTGGTTCAAGAATTTTCTGCTCATATTTGCCATTTATGTCTGAATGCAGGCTCGATTTCAATGTTCGCAACACTGCCTGCAAACCGCAACTCCAACTTTGTCATTTCCTCTCCTATTTTCCAATCCCCCACCCACCCTCAGCTCTTTCCATGTGATGCATCGTTCACCATACTCCTTTCTGAAGTAGGCAGACCTGCGCCGGCTCTTCTTGTTCTTGCTTTATCTCTTATAATGTACTAATTTTTATCAGCCTTGGGCTCCGACCCTGCTGTTGTGGACAGATAGGATGGGCGGCTGAGATCTGGTCCGAAATGCTTGATTTTGTTGACATCTGGCACTGCCGATGCTAGAGGGGTGGTACGTGGGAAGACGCAGATGCAAAAACTTGTGCAGAAGGAATGTCGGCCGTGTGATAATGTGTTTTAGAGAGTGTCTGGTTGTCTGAGAGCATGTGAAGAAATTTGCTGAAAAGGGAAAGTGTGTCGGAGTGTCTGAGGAGGAAAGCGTGTCTAACACGCGGATTCTGCAATGATTTGTTTCGGCACACGTCAATCTCGTTTTTGTGTGGCAGTGTACAGACCCAAGTTTGAAACCCAGGGAAAAGACGAAAAGAAAGGTTGCACATGCTTTTTTTTTTTTTTCCACATGGCGGTAGTCCAAAGCTCAAATCCGAGTTTTGTTTGGTTTTCGTGTGATGGTAGTCCCAAGGTCGAATCCAAGTTTTTAATGCCCCCCACACAATACACCCTCATCATGAGGGTACTGGAGCACAAAAATAGCTCGTATACTACGTTCATGTCCAAAGTGGAATGCGTTGCACGTAGGGCATTTTCAGGACTCCCTCTGAGGTACGCACACAACACACACAATCACACGAACATCGGTAACCTTGCATCTTCTTTTATATCCCTATCTGTGATGATTTGTGGTTGGTATGACCAGAGAAGTTGGGGATCCCTGGAAAACACATTCTGGTCTTGCTAGATCTCTGTCTTGGCAGAGTTGAGCGGTTAGGATCGGGCTTGTTCTAGCGAGCTACTCTTCTTTTGCGGTTGAATGTTTTATTGGTTGTCAATTGACTTTTTACGCGGCCTAGTTTTTGCCCTTCTTTAGAGCGTGGGCTGTCTTTTTTATGAAGAAATGTCTGTGGGTGGCCACAAGTTTTCGGGGTGGAAATGTATGTTTGGACTCTTTGGAGTTCTGCCACCGTATCTTTGCGAGGAGGCTCAGAGAGTGTTTGCTGTGGGTGTCATTCCCAGGGTGTCATTCCCACAGGCTCCTCCTTTGGAGCACATTGAAGAAGTGGGGAGCTCCAGTGTGTTTTAAGCAGAAGTGCTCCTGGTGTTGCGTGGAGATCTTGTGCAGTCTGGTATGATTTACGGTGGCTTTGTGGGCCGACACAGAGGGCTCTCTAAGTTTTTTCATACCATTTGCAGTGTGGTCGGTGCTTTCTTGTCAGTGTGGCCTTTTGTGTTGTGGCGCAACTGATTTTTGTCTCGCGGTCTATACACTCCACTGCTCCATGCAGAGGGAGCATGCAGTGGGTGTGACATGGGTGCTCTTAGCATGCATGATGTGTGATGCAAGTATGGTCGATGCCCTGATTGTGTTTTGTTTCCTTTCTTCTTTTTTCACAAAGCAGAAAAGAGCCTGTATGGCTGACTGCACGGACCCCTATTCCAGCAAAATTAGAGATGTTGCAACAATGTCGTTTCCAAATTTCCCTGTGAGTGCGAGATTGCGAGCAGACAGACAGACACAGGCAGAGGCAGACAGGTAGGCAGACGGACAGACCATTGAAACAATTGATGGACTGATGAACCAAATGATGGACCGCTAATCTGAACGATTGACTGATGGATGGACAGAGCTACAGACTGACAAACAGATAGGCTGATAGACAGACAGACATGTGGAGAGAGACAGGGACAGAAAGAGAAGGACGAGGAGAGGAAAAGGCAGATAAACACACACACACACACAGAGAGAGAGAGAGAGAGAGAGAGAGAGAGAGAGAGAGAGAGAGAGAGAGAGAGAGAGAGAGAGAGAGAGAGAGAGAG